TTGCTCAAGAGGCTGAAATATGGAAATTTCTTTATAAGTTTCTCTCCATCTCTGATTTTGCAGCAAAGGCATGACATAGTTCTAGGAATTTTTGAGTCAAATAGTCAGATAAAAGCTCACAGAGGAAAGCCTAGGCTGCTGACTAAAAAAAGAATAATATGGTTTAAAATCCTTATAATATTTTTTGAAGTGAAATATTCTAATGTTGCTTAGCTTTCTTCTAATCCAGTGGTGTTAAACCTGTGCCATGCATGTTATTTTTCTTTTAAAACAAAAGATGATAATGTATGAGTTGCTTTTTAAACTAAAACCTCAGCATTCAGGTTTAATTGCAGGGTCGGCATCTTGTGATAAATCAGTGGGTTTGGGGTTGCAGATTGGGCATGCATCCCTAAAAGGCTTGCCATCATGGCTCTCATCTATTCTCCCATATTTTTAACAAATGAGAGTGCATCTCAGAATGTTCCTCATGCTTAGTAAACTAATGTCACAATTACCCTCTTGCATTTTCTAGAACATTCAAGATGCTTCTGAGCTTTAACAGTCCTATGTCTGGATCCTGTTCTGGAAGTGGGACTTAGAAACCAGTCCCACCTTTTATTCTCTTTCAAAACAACTTTTTTTCTGCATAGATAGTACTTTTCAAAATACTTAAAGACTTTTTAAAAATAAAATGTATCTACTTCACTAGACCAAGATCTATGAGGATTCCTCCAAGTCTTTTTTATTATTCACTACTTTAATCACCATGTTCCCTTGTCATACAGCATAGTACCTGGTACACATTAAATATCTGTCTCTTCTTTCTCTGTCTCTATCTCTCTCTCCTTTTATTTCTAAACATTCAGGAATTTTCTTACTTTGCCTCTAACTGTACTATACTTTTAAGATTATTGTATAAAAACATATTTTACCTAACAAGATTAGATGTTCTGTGTCAGGCATTTTCCTGTTCCTTCCTCTCAGAGTTGGCCCTCTCTCAAGACAGACTGAGTGGAGAATACACTCAGCCCTTGAGCCAAAAGATCTCAGTCACAGTAGCAGAGATCTCAAACGACTCATAGCACAGCTCTCGCACTGTGTTCTCCTCTGCATTAGTCTCACTTCCATACTATATCATTACTATTTTGTACTTAAATGGCAAGAAATCATCTAGTTGTCAGAAGTTGAAAATTTTAAAAAGAACTTCTGCACACACCACAATTGGCGCCCTCTGCTCTAGAGGCAGAGCTCCAACCCCTCCGACCTGTGCATAAGAAAGTGATAATGTACTCTGCACCCTTACTGTGGTCCAGGCACTACTGTAGTTGATGGCCCTGTACTAACTCACTTATGCCTCACAATAGTGTGAAGGATAATGACTGCTGTTGATTTTATGTGGATAACTTAGGCTTGGTATTGCAGCCACACTGCTCAGAGGTGGGCAGTGGACACCATCTCAGGCCTGTGCCACCCCAGAAGCATGCAGTGGTCAGGATGATTCCCTCCTAACATCTGCTCCTGCTTGTCTTGGAGTCGTCAGTAGGTGACCTCCCTTCTCTAGGAGACAGCACTGTAGGAAATGGGAGAGGTTTGTGGATCTCCATGCACTCTTAGGTCTGAACAGTGATTGTATTGAGGCTGAGGTTTCTGAGCAGATCAGTGGATGACCTACCTCTGGATCAGAAGTGGACATGTAACTTCCCCCAGGCTAATGAGGTATGAGAGACACAGGCATTCTAGAAGAGTGTTGTGCATCTTAGAAGACAGCCAGTCTGTCCCGATCCGAAGACTGCCATCCCCATCTGTGAAGCTTGGAGCCCCGGGTGCAGCTTCCTCCTTGGAAGCCAGAACAGAACTACAGAGTTGAGAGACTCAGAGACCCTGGCCCCAGAGCTCCAACTGGGTCACAGCTCCTCACCATCGAGCCTTGGATTCAGTCAATAGTTTTGTTTTTCAGGTCAAGCTCAATATCTACTTCAATTGAAAATAATCTGACATAGTTAGGTGATGCCTTTCAGGATCTGGTCTCAGCATACTTTTTTAGACTTAATCTCATGTATAGGGGCCCCAAAAACTGCTCAGAATTTCCTGAGTACCCACCCCTCCCTGCCTATGCCTGGGTAGACGTAATTCTCCCTCCTTAGCACGTACTTAGCTCCCCTTTCCTTGGAGAGCTCAAGTGGATGACAGTCTCACTCTCCACGAGTGAGGCTTGGGGACTTGATTTGGCTGTGCCAGTCTTCTCTTCATATTCTTGGTGCCTTACAGACAACTAGCACACAGTAAAAACTGGAATAGGATCCATGGGCTTAACAACAACAGGCAGCTATGAGATTGTAACAATGGCATGGCTGCCTGGATTATGGCACAGTCTACTCTACAAGATACTTAATCACAGAATTTGCTGTAGTAACAGAAATATCCATCCCTGCTCCGCTCAATAAAAGAACCACTGGCCATTCCTGGCTATTGGGCCTTGGACTGTGCCTAGTGTGAAAGAGGAACTGAATTTTAAATTTCATTTCCTTGTAATGAGTTGAAACTTAAATAGTCACATAGAGCTAATGGTTACTACATCTCATAGCACAGATGTAGACAAGTGAACAAGCTAATTTCAAAGAAAGGAATTTTCTGTCCACTCAATGATTTTAGACACCAGAGTAAAATGGAAATAGCTGAAGCTGTGTTATTTTGACTCTAACAATATTTTATCTGTGAGGTAAAAAATTAATGTAATCCATGAATTTTTTTCACCATTGAAAACTAGACTGTCTGTGTAATTTAAAAAATATAATCCTATCTTAATTGTCTTTATTTCAAACTCTCAATTTTCAAGGTGAATAATCCCAGACTCTCAGAGGACCAGCTATCCTTGCCGGGCAGCTCCTCACATGCACACTCTCTCTACCACTGGGAAGCAACAGCACCCTCACACTGCAGCACTGAGAAATGAGCAGGGAGGCTTTTCCGTCCTGGGATGCCCAGAAATGAGAGCAAGTAGCCAGTATTTTCTGCAAGGAATCTCTTTATAGCTGTCTGACCCCACGTAGTGCTAGGAAAACTGGTGCTTGCACACTGAATGACTGGCTGCTTTCACAGTCAGGGAATAGAATATGTTCTCGGACATGGTGGACACTAGACTTGGATTATTGGAATCTGGGGAGGAGGGGATGGTCACTCTCTGGAAGGCAGCAGTTTACAGGTAAAGCAGCCAAGGATCAACGCAGTGTGTGCCTTCTCCACGGTCACAAGGCTAAGTGGCAGGGTTTCCACTGAAACCCAGGAGATTCTGACTTTGAAGCCCCTGCTTCTGCTATCAGAAAATGACAGGCAGGTGACATGCTGCCACTCATGAGTCCACACTTTGAGAGCCTCTGTTTATAAAAACCAGCAGCTGATAATAAGTAACTCTGCAGTGGGTGGGGGCTTGGAAGGCCATTTCACAGATCTTATAAACAGTGTAATCAAGATTTCCATCTCAAGGGTAATATTTCTAGTATACTGAATACAGTGCATCAAAAGGAGAAGTAGGCCAAGTCTGTGCTGACCAAAGTCCACACTACTTCTGCAGAAATATGGAGGGGGAGGACAGCCACTGGACAGAGGAGGGGTGTCTCCTGGGGATGGAAGCAAAGTCCACTGGGAATACACTGCAAAGTGAAGCTGTCTAGAGAGGGATCCAGGAGCTATTCTAGGCTTTGGGTTCACATGCTGTCAGTCTCTGGTCCTATTCTGAAGAACCATTAGTTATCCTCAAAGTGGTGTGGGTAGGAGCAGTTATGCAAACCTGGAGCTGGAGGGGGCTTCGAGGTCTGGCTCTCTCATTACCTTCAACCCGTGGTAAGTTAACACTGTGCTCTTGGTTTCTCCATCTATACAAGCATGCCATGAGTGGTTCTTACTTCACGGGTTGTTGCAGAGATAGTAGAGATATGGCACGAAAAACATTTGGAGTAGGATCTGCTGTGGACTCAGTGGCCATCACTGTTCACTACTATCCTTTGTCCCATGGCTGAGGAATTCCATGAAACAAGAAGAGGACTTTCCAATTAGTCAGTGATGGCTGGTATCAAAATCATATCCAGTATCAGCAGGTGAGTTTGACCATCAGTGTGGGCTGTCTATAATGTACTGTGCTATCAGATTATAAATAAATGTGTCTTCAAGATGTTAGTGCTGAGTGATTACACATTTGAATAATTTTGTAAAAATAAACAAAGAAACAAAAAAACTCACTCCTTTAAATCTTCCTGTTGAATGGCCTAGGTGATCTGTGTACTCTAAAGGATACTGGGAAGCCAGATATGTACATTTTTCTCATTCAGTTCCTGCAGGAGGTAATTGTTGTCATTTCTACCTTAAACATTGTGAATCTGGAGCTTTAGAGGTAAAATGACAACAAATCAATAGTCCGGAATCTGAATTTAGATGTGCTTGAGACCAGAGGCTATACTTCTTGGAAATTTACACATGAGAGGATATGCAGATTTGTGGAGGGGTAAAAGGATTTCATAACCAAAAGCTCATTCACACAAATACAGTATTTTGTTTTCAGTGTCTTTACCTCAGAACTTAATGGACAATAGAAATACCAAACTTCTATAGACTTAAGAGCCAAACCATTCAGGGTTAGGAAAACTGGAAGTATGATGGCATGCTTCTGTACAGTCACATCTGTCCCATGTGTAATTGAATTGGATATAACAGTAGACTACACAAAATTCTGGAGGGAAACCACCTTGAATTTAGCAAAATAATTAAGGGAGAGATCAAATGAACTTGCAAAAGATTTCAAGCCTGGAGCATCCACATGAGATGTATTTTGATTATTAGTAATTTCAGAATAACGTGGATCCTCATGTGTCCTGGACTGAAAGGAAGCAAGCTCTCCATTCCAGGAGCAGCTGCCCTGTCCCCTCCTCTCTGTGTGAACAGATGTTCCTGCCTCAGGCTCTAAGGGGGCATGCAGGGAGCAGCTCGCTGGTGGCATGGCATACACACCGCCCCACAAGACACACCTTACTGTTCAGGATCTGGAAAACTCTCTGTTGGAGCGTCTGGCCAGCCTTGGGCCGCACAAGGATGTAAATGATTTTGAGATCTGGGCTGGTGCGAAACAGCTTCTCCATCAGCACTTTGCCCAGGAAGCCGGTGGCCCCAGTGATGAGAATGGACTTGCTGCTATAAAAAGCTGCAATCATCGACATGATTCCTCCTTTTCCCTTTCACAGCTCTGGCAAGAGGCTCCTACAGAAGAAGAGAAATTAGCAGAGTTTGTAGTCTCATAAGTCTTAAATACAAAGTCACTCAAAATGTTTCTCTCTTATGCTTTCAAAAGCTCTGAAGGCAGGAAAAAGAGGTTAGATTGTGTGAGGTGGTACAATGTAAGGGCACTGCGATTTACTTGGATCACCCCCTGCACTGTACTTCATACCAACACGGGTTAGCTGGAGATGGGCAAGGCGTAGCTCCTGCTGTCAGAGAATTGCTGCCATCTAGGGAGGAGATGGACACACAAAGAGATCACTGAATGAACGTGCTAAGTGCTAAGACAGAGGGCACACACACAAGGGACACAGAATACGACCTAAATGTTCAGAGTGGGGTGTATAGATTGCGAGACCCTGGCTGAAACACGAAGTCAAGGCAGGGAAGGTGCTGCAGGCAGAAAAACATAAGAGTGGCCCCAGGACCTGTGAAGTCAAAGCTGAGAAGAGGTGTTACATTTTAAAATGTTATGATACAAGAAGTGCTTCATGGTAACCTTAGAGCAAATCACTGAAACACTGCTCCTGTCGCACCTGGCCATTTTTGACTACACATGTGGTTCTCTTCCTTGAGTGGAAAATGGGTCAGCTGTGTGTAGGAGGTAGCTTTGTGTATCATTCCTGATTGAGGAACTGAGCGGAAAAGGCAGAAAAACTTCCAGACCTTTTGTTGTCGTGAGCCCCAAAATAGCCCCAAGTGCAGTCTAGGGCTCAGTCCATTTAAGGTTCCATTTCTGGGCATACAAGAAGAGTTGGCAGAGCAGCAGAGTGATGCCTGATGCAGTACAGGGCTCTGTTACTGCCAAGAGAAAGCATTCCATGCCATAAGACTGCAACACCAACTATTCTGTCTTCAAGTTCACTTGGAGACTTGATGAGAAGGAGCAGGAGCTTGCCTGGAAAAGAACCATGTTAGTGGGGTGCAGGAGCAGATTTGCGTCCCGTTCACTGTCAGCGGTAGGAGGTCCTCAGTGCTTCCTGGAACACAACTCTGGGACAGGCTCTGACCTGAGAGCTCACAAAGAAGAGAAAACAGACCAAAAACAGTTACCATCCTCCACCTGAACAGTGGCCAAGACCCCTCCGCTGATAACTTCTTTACTCTCAATGCCTTTTCACAACTATCATTTGTATTTTGAGGATGTTGTGGCTATGTTCGTGGGTAGAAGTTTGCTTTTGTGGGATTTATTTATTCATGAATTTATTCAACAAATAACTTGGAGTTCTAGGCTAAGTTCTTTTTTTTTTTATTTGTCTTTTTTGAGAGGGGGTCTCGCTATGCAGTTCAGGCTGGCCTCAAGCTCACTTTATAGCCCAGGCTGGTCTCGAACGCGCAAGGATCCTCCCACCTCAGCCTCCCCGAGTGCTGGGATTACAGGCGTAAGCCACTGTGCCCGGCTTAGGCTAAATTCTTAAAATGAGCTAATGAATAAGGAACATAGGTCCCTGCTTTCACTCCAGAGCAACACAGAGCAAGACTTCACGACCTTCAGTGAATGACAGAAATTAAACCCAAACCATTCATGGTAGGAAATCTGAATTTTAAAGCATCTCACCTATGCTCACTACTGTATAAGTCCTCTTTACTGAGGATTGATGTGAAAATTATTATTTGGAAAACCCATATGTAACAATGAATGACTTTTAAACTCATGTGGCTTGATATTTCTCACAAGCAGTCCATTGGTGACTTCTCAAGAATTTAGCAGTTGGCAGAGTATTGAATTATCCTTGCTTTGCCTACCTCAAAGCTCAAAAAAGTGCTATCATCAGGTTTGGGAGACAGCACAGTACCTAGGATTAGCATACAGATTCTAAGGAAGACCCAAATCCTATTTCTAACACTTGGAGCTGTGTGACCTCATGCAAATGACCAATCTGGCCATGCTTCCCTTTCTTTGTAAGTGGGGATAACAACAGCATCTGCTTTAAGAGCTGAGGAGAGGATGAAACTAAAACACGTGAAACCCTTAAATCTTTAGAATGTCTATAGAATATACTCAAATGTTGGCCAATGATATAGTCACTGACTTTTACTTTTGCCTTTAATGTTTTTAGATTTTTCTTTCAACATTCATTTTAATTGGTCTTATTATTTACGTTCTTTTGGAAATAGACAATGTATAACTCAACCAACCATAAGAACCATGTGAAGCATCTTCACCAAACTCTTCTTGGCAATAAATATTGCCTATTCCTATGCAAGCAAAAATCTTCAGGTACCATACTTCTTTAATATGATATTAGTTATGCACAGACATAGGTGAGCAGGAACATACAGATGGAGAACTGAGTTAAAAACTTCATTTGTTCCAAAGATGTCAGATGCTTATCCTCAAATATTACGATTTTTTAAAAAAAACATGCAAATACACCATTTTGGTCCCCACCATAAAGTCCACCCACATCACCAAATATAAAAAAATTCATCCAAATACTTTTTTCCAGAATCATCCAGAATAATGTTTGACCAAGCATTTAGGCACCATGGCCTCACCATAGTGACAGAAAAAAAATTAACCATCACAATTGTACCCCTTGTCAACTTTGCACTATGCACCCCCTTTAATCATATGGAACCTTCTATTAGATACAGCAAGGGTGTAATGAATTCCACATAACACAACAGAAGTACCCTGCATACAACAAAAAACGCATTAACCCTTCCTCAAGAAGAGGAGGCAAATTTCTCAGTTGTTAACTACTATTCTTGCTATTAGAAAACAAATACTAAAAGGGAAAGTTACTACTTAAATACTGCCGTGCAAAGTCGATAAGGCATAGGTTACAGGATAAAGGGATAAGAAAGGGAAGAAAACAAAGATACAGCAGATCTTTTAGTTACAACTAGTCTGGAATACTAACAGCTCGGGTTGTGATCAGAATTTTAGGTTTAATTTAGACTGAGATTTTGAATTACAACCGAACGTTGGTGCTAAGCTTACGTGAGTGTCACTCTGAGCCCAGATGTATGTGTATGTGGACGTGACTTCAGTCAATACTTTATATAATCAATATGATTACTACTATCAAAATGGGCCCCCAAAAGCTAGAAAAGAAGCTAAGGAATAAATGGAAGGTAAAGAAAGCAATCACAATAGAAAAAGAGAAATTGTGGAGAAATATGAGAAGTGGCATTCATATGATTGATCTTGCTAATACATACAGCATGTTAAAACCCACCAACTCAACAGTCTTACAGAGAAAATATTTGCATAAGGAAGCTAGTGTTGTTAAATGTGCTACTCAAATTAGTAAGTCATAATCAACATTGTTAGTGAGCTAGAAAGACTATTAGTGTAGGTAAATGAAAGGCAGATAGCAGGTTATAGTCTGAGTATAATTTGTGAAAAAGCTAGGGCTATAAATGCAGATCTTGTAAAGGATAATCGATTGGGAGTGATAATGGTGAAACATTTCATGCCTGCATGGGGTGGTTTCATAATTTAAAGTGAGACCTAGGACTCATAGTATAACGAGCATCATGAAGCAGCCAGTGCTGATAAAAGGACTGCTGAAAATTCCATATATCATTTGGAAATGATGACACAGAGAAAGGAGTTTTGCTCTCATCAAGGTTTCAATTACAATGAAACTGGCCTTCTCTGAAAGAAAATGCCTAGGAGAATATACATTACCCAGGGAGAGAAGAAAATACCAGGCCACAAGCTTATGAATGACAGGCTAACCTACAGTGCCAATGTGAGTGGTGACCTCAAGATAAAGCCATAATAGTCCTGCTTGGACTGGGCTGGAATTTTCCACTGACCTTAATCACATGCACAGTAGTACTAAGACACACTCTAGGTCAGTGGTAAACCTAAGGCACCTGTGACACAGCGGGCCATTTGTATCGCTGAACGTTCTAAAAGGTTGCCATTGCTGCTCTAAAGTATCTGCTATATTCCAGACCCACTCTTCCTTACCTCTACTGTGATGTGGCAACCAGATCTCCCCTTGATGTTCAGTGTCAACCACTCCAGTCACCACAGGAAGCCCCTCCTTTCCCTGTCAACTCAGTCATGATGAATCACAATGGCCAGACAATTGCTCAGTGAAATCACTGGAGTGTCTCTTGCTGGAGGGGTTCTTCCCTTGGAAGTGAGAGGTGAGCAGAGGTCCAGTATGGAAAACAGTAAGTGGTACCACTATTTCCAACCCTTGTACCTGGACCTATGCATCTTGGCTATGGGAGAAACAGGATCACATATTAGACAGTGACTCGGCATAATTAGCTTTCTAGAGACCTGCTGCAGGCTGGAGGGAAGGTGGTTTCGCAACTGAGGCTCCAGAATGCCTCCCATCCATCTCTCTATCTCTTTCTTTCCCTTTTTTTCTTCCTTCCTTTCCTTTCCTTTCCTTTTCTTTCTTTCTCTCTCTCTCTCTCTCTCTCTCTCTCTCTCTCTCTCTCTCTCTTTCTTTCTTTCTTTTCTATTTTACATGTTTTATTGACATCTTCCCTAAACACAGTAAAGGACATTCATTTCATTCTACAGTAAGGTCTATATTCTACCAAGTACTTTTGATGTTTCTTAGATCACACAAATCTCTGGTTGCCCAAAGTTCACATTTGAGGATTTTTAACAGGTAAGAAAGTGGCATTTAACAGATCAGGGTCAAGTTCCAGTGAACTCGGTGGTCCTGATGTGGAACTAGTTAGTGTAGGCAGAATTAAGCTGCATTTTACTTGGTCCCACAACTCTTGGTTTCTGGGTTCACCTGTTATACAAAGAAGACACAAGTTATGTAAGTTTTTAGCAACAGGGAAAACAAGGGAAATTCTACTTTTTGGAATCCTCTCATGGATTCTCTTTATTTCCAATAAAAACTCAGTGTTAACTTCAAAAACAAAACAACAGAATGGAAGTAGCAACAACAGTGGGGAGATGGGGCTTTGATGATTAAAAGGGGATGCATTTATCTAATAGTATGAATAGAAGGTAGGAATATTTTTCAAAATGTGAGATCACTGAAAGAAAC